CATGGGGCGACAAAAGGGTCAATCATGGAAATTTATCTCGACGTTCCGGTATGTACGCAGCGGACTTTACCGGCTGGTATCAGCGCATGGGGCGACAAAAGGGTCAATCATGGAAATTTATCTCGACGTTCCGTCTCGATTAATTTCCTATGATTGACCCTTGTTGTCGCCCCATGCGCTGATACCAGCCGGTAAAGTCCTCGTATATATTCTATACATGGCTGACAAAGCGGAATCACCTTAATAATCATACCCCATACAATAGGACTAGCTGTTGCAATTATTAATCAATATTATGAATTCATTTAAGGAAGAGCTTAATAAAAGTCTAATTAATGTGTGTTGATATTGAAGATTATTAGCACTCAGCGCGTAGTTGTTGATGGAGCAACGTCCGACCCAGCACCCGTTATCAGCGGAGTCCCCCAGGGAAGTGTGCTCGGACCCATAATCTTCCTGGTCTTCATCAATGACCTGCCACTTCATGTCACGTCCAAAGCCAGACTCTTTGCTGACGACTGTGTGGTATACCGGGAAATCAACACTGAAGAGGACTGCCACGTTTTGCAGGATGACCTGAAGAAGTTGGCATTGTGGGAGAAACGCTGGGGCATGAGTTTTCACCCAGAGAAATGCAGTATAATCAGGGTCCACAGGAAGAGGAACCCCATCATATACCCGTACTTCTTGAAGGGCCACACACTCGAGATAGACTCGATAACCAAGTACCTCGGAGTCCATATGTCTGGAAACCTCTCCTGGAATCAACATGTTGACAAGATCGTAAAGAAGGGCAACAGCACACTCGGCTTCCTTCGACGCAACCTGCGCATCAGCAATGAACAGGTCAAGAGCGCAGCCTACATGTCACTCGTGCGACCAGGCCTTGAATATTGCTCCACCATCTGGAACCCTTATACCAAGGACCTTACACGCAAGCTCGAGATGGTCCAGAGGAGAGCTGCAAGATATGTGACGAATCGTTACCACAACACAAGCAGCGTATCCTCAATGATCCAACACTTGGAGTGGGAGACATTAGAGTCACGACGGACCAAAGCCCAGCTGACCATGATGTTCAAGATCACCAATGACCTTGTGGACATACCAGTCAGCGATTATCTCACCCCTGCCCCAAGCTGCACTAGAAGTGACCACTCAAAGAAGTTCCATCTACCATCAACATCTACATCGTACTACAAAAACTCCTTCTTCCCTCGTACAGCCACGATATGGAACAGCTTACCTGCCTCCCTGACTTGGTATCCTTCAAGCAGGGGCTATCAGCCCTCACATTCTAAGTCGCCTTAGGGGCCCAGCTACAAGTACCCACTAGTGATATCCAAGGCTGTGCCGGCAGCGGCCACCGTAACCGGAGAGGTTTGGGTTGAAGAGGCGAAATATAGCTGGCCATACTTTTTGTCTATATCTCTATCTTTGTACTATCCAACCTCTTCTTACTTTCTATCATTTCTTGTATATTTCTTTTTCTTGACCTAGCACCACCCGTCGCGTCATAATCAAGTGTGATTGCGCCGACGTACAATGTAGATGTATCGTGGACTAACCAGTTCTCAAACCTCTAAGCATTCAAGAGGTCTTATAATGTGAATAAAAATATATCTTTATAAAAATTCTTTACATATGTACACTTTAATCTTTATGTAACATTTCTGTAAAATTTGACTGAAATTCAACTATTAAAAAAGCTCTATTTCCATCTTGGAAAAGCACAACCCTCTGTTTTAAAACTAACATGGCCTCTTAAAATAAAGAACCTAATCTCAAACCCCTTCAAGTATCTCTAAAATTCTACTGTTTAGTTTAGCCAACGAAGTGATTGTTATATGACTATCACATGACAATGAAGTACCCTACACGATGCAGTTACCTGCTTTAAGATATTTTGTCTATAATATTCATTTTCATAAATAGTTAATGGTGTATTTATTGGACTTACAAAGGTAATAGCAATTTGTATAAAATTACGCTAAGTAATAAAATATGTTATATAAATATTTGTCCCTATGCACTGTTTTCATTTGACATCAGCAGACATGTCTGTCAGAAACAAAGCTTTTATGCACACAAGTTCAGGACATCATAGTCATTTCTAGTAAAAAAATAACAGCAGATATATGAAAGGTTTGAGAATAGGTTGGGTGTGAGATTAGGTACTTATACGATAGATGTAGACGCGGAAATAAATTTCCCCAAAATCCAACTTTCGTTTTCAATTGATAGCGAGCTCGACGAGCTGGCCCGAAGGGCCTGCTCGCAAAGCGAGCTTTACGGTAACGCGAGTACCTGCTAAGTGATGGTTTTGAAAACTTTCGTCCGAGTTACCGAATTGGACACATCGCAACCTTTCGAATTTAAAGATAACGATAAATACTGAGTAAATCTGACTGAAAACGGATGTGTAGACTGGTCACCCGCGCACGTCTATGGGAACCATAATTGGACAGGGAACCAGAATAACGGAAGCTGCCGATAAAATATCGAACGGAAATGAAAATTGAAGGCGCCATTTTGTTTGAAAAATCTGATAAATTAAAACAATTATTTGTTGAATTTTGTTGTGAAAACTATCTAGAATGAAAGAAAATGGTCTAACTAAGAAAATGAATCCGAACACCAATATCTTTTATTCAGTCATTAACGCTGTACAGACGTTTAAAGTATTGTTTACATGACGTCACAATGTAGCACCAAAACAGCACGTGCAAAACAAACAAATCAAGTACGCTATTTTAATGTCGCAAACGTTTTAAGTTTTACATTTATTTCACTTTTAACAATCTTTATTTCGCTTGAAAAATTATAGATCTAGAGTGAAATAGAATAAACAAAATTTTATCAACGTTTTCAAAACTCGTTATTCATTTAACGACAGGGGCGGAGCCATATTTAACAGAGTACGTGTAACGTCACACGCACTCGTCACTGCATTTGAAATAAAAATGAGCGATTATTTCATATTATTTCATGTTAAAAGTACATCCAAAGGGACCCGGCACAGTGTTGGGATAGTGTAAAAAAGTAATTCTAGAAAAAAAATTATACTTTATATATAATATATAGACAAGGGGTGGAACTCGCCAAATCGGCCGAACGCCCCTAGTCCAGTATAAGTCCTTCTTGCGTAAATTATATAAAGCTATATATCAAATTACAGCTAAATGACATCACTAGACGTTGACAATTACATTACTGTCCCAACTTAAACCGTTTTTGAACAACAAACCGATATTTCGGATGACACATCGTATTTTTGCTAGGTCGGACACAACTGTGCAACCTGTCCCCACTCGATTTTCTACGTGTAAAAACGCAATTCCAAACCATTACATTATATCAACCCGCAATAAATCGATAATACAAAACAAAAGAAACAACTTACCGCCGGAAATTGATTTTTAAAATGTTTTATAGCGTCTGTAAACAATTAATTCCTGAATGTGAAAATGAAAGTTGTAATCAGCATCCATTGGCTATCACGTGACCAATTTAAAACGGATTATTTCATTGGTTGATTGAAATACAAAGCATTGCTGGGTCACAGAATCGTCCAATCAAACGATGTCTTACAACCGTTGCCGAGTATGTATCATGGCTTCAAAAAATATTTTGACGGAAGAGAAAAAAAAAGAAATGAATGTTTTCTATAACTGATTGGTTTTGGAACAAATTTCCAGCAGTAAGTTGTTTATTTTGTTTTGTTTTATCGATTTATTGTGGGTTGATATATTGACATGGTCTGGAATTGCGTTTTTACACGTAGAAAATCGAGTGTTGACGGGTTGCACAGTTTTGTCCGACCTAGCAAAAATACGATGTTTCATCCGAAATATCGGTTTGTTGTTCAAAAACGGTTTAAGTGGGGACAGTAATGTAATTGTCAACGTCTAGTGATGTCATTTAGCTGCAATTTGATATATAGCTTTATATAATTTACGCAAGAAGGACTTTGAAATTTTGACTTATACTGGACTAGGGGCATTCGGCCGATTTTGCGAGTTCCACCCCTTGTCTATATATTATATATACAATATATATATTTTTTTAAAATTACTTTTTTACACTATCCCAACACTGTGCTGGGTCCCTGTGAGTACATCGAGCTCGCTTTGACATTAGTCCTATAAATATGACGTCGCTTTGAGATATTTTTGCTTCTGGGCAAAGCAACGTCATATCGAAATTGCTCAAAAACCCATAGCATGTTCCGCCAGAAAATCGGGCGGAACGAAAAACAATGAAGACAGCGTGTATTTACATAAGTTTTGACCTATTTGAACAAAACTAAAAAATAAATACCTTTTGTCAAAATAATTAAACTGTCACATCCGAAAAATCATGATTAAATCCTCTCATGTATTTCAATTCTTTTTACAGCCGATAAACAAATGGCGGCCATAAAGTGCGCGAAATCTGATTGGCTAATTCAAATGCAAGCGTTTAACTGAGTCAGAACAATCTAACGGAATATTTTTTTAACGAAATAATTGCCCATGCACCGTCAGTGTGTTCGAATATATTTTTCCGTTCAAAAATTTTGAATCAGTCTGTAAAGCACCTTGCTTAACCAGTATGGCTGATAGACAAAAATAGATTGATGTTTATATTTTATTTTAAATTGATAAGTACATTGTTTGAGAGTTTTTGTGTATGATTGAGCATGAAATTGAAAGAAAAGAAGATAAGCTTTTGAATAAAGCTTAAAAGACAAGACAATATACATTTTTTGATTTTTTTATGATGCTATGCGTTTTTGAGCAATAACTATTAGACGTCAGGCTTGACCGACATAAACTATAAGAAGCCTGTAACGTCTAATATATTGGACTAGCTTTGACATGTTTGAGGCTTTGCCTTTTTCATATTAAAACATTGGTAATTTACCTTAGCGAGTTAATTGTTTTTGACTTGTTATGTTAACATTTCATTCAAGTAAAAAATAATTTACCTATTAGTTACAAACTTTTCAAGATACTTACCGCAATTTCTTCAAATTTTGAGAAAATATTATCCGGGGCTATTTTCCGCCATTCTCTTCAATTTGACAGCGCATGCGTACAGTAATCTGGTTCCCTGTCCCATTTAGTTCCCATCCAAGAAGTGCGCAGGGGACCAGTCTGATGCGTACTGTAAACGAACACTACTAAATTATAGAAAGATTTCACAACACTAAATATTTTCCTACACTTTCTTTAGTAAAAAAGGTCAAAGAAACATCTGGAAGAGACTCTGCAAACTATTATCATAGGCAAAATTGTGCCGTTTCTTTAGTATGAGAAAATAAAAGCAGGCTTATATCATTTTTTATCATCTAATTTTAATTGAATAAATTTGAATGAAGGCTCTCGCACACATAACACCACCTAAATCAGTATATTCAATCTATGTTAACTTAATTATTTCAATCCTCTAGCACCGTCTAAATCAGTATATTCAATCAATGTTAACTTAATTATTTCAATCCTCTAGCACCGTCTAAATCAGTATATTCAGTCTATGTTAACTTAATTATTTCAATCCTCTAGCTCCGTCTAAATCAGTATATTCAATCAATGTTAACTTAATTATTTCAATCCTCTAGCACCGTCTAAATCAGTATATTCAGTCTATGTTAACTTAATTATTTCAATCCTCTAGCTCCGTCTAAATCAGTATATTCAATCTATGTTAACTTAATTATTTCAATCCTCTAGCACCGTCTAAATCAGTATATTCAATCTATGTTAACTTAATTATTTCAATCCTCTAGCACCGTCTAAATCAGTATATTCAGTCTATGTTAACTTAATTATTTCAATCCTCTAGCACCGTCTAAATCAGTATATTCAATCTATGTAAACTTAATTTTTCCAATCCTCTAGCACCGTATAAAGCAGTATATTCAATCTATGTTAACTTAATTATTTCAATCCTCAAGCACCGTACAAAGCAGTATATTCAATCTATGTAAACTTAATTATTTCAATCCTCTAGCACCACCTAAATCAGTATATTCAATCTATGTTAACTTAACTATTTCAATCCTCTAGCACCGTCTAAAGCAGTATATTCAATCTATGTTAACATAATTATTTCAATCCTCTAGCACCGTCTAAAGCAGTATATTCAATATATGTTAACTTAATTATTTCAATCCTCTAGCACCGTCTAAAGCAGTATATTCAATCTATGTTAACTTAATTATTTCAATCCCCTAGCACCGTCTAAAGCAGTATATTCAGTATATGTTAACTTAATTATTTCAATCCTCTGTCACCGTCTAAAGCAGTATATTTAATCTATGTAAACTTAATTATTTCAATCCTCTAGCACCGTCTAAAGCAGTATATTCAGTCGCAGTATATTCAATTGTTGCTAACATGTCACTTCCACATATAACATATATCGTAGCAGTGTATTCAGTTTTTGTTAACATACTCACCCTATTTATACCGTCTAAAGCATTGTTCAGATTAACAAAGTGAGCTGGTAGATCACACTTTTTTTTAGCTTGAAATGATCAATACACTTAACATGATTTAGATCACATGTTTTGAAGACAAACAAATTAAGACAAACGCTTGTTGAACAGATCCTTATTTATTTTAAGAAAGATACAGGACTTAATGGCTACTGTTACTTAATTTGCTAAAAGATTAACTAAGTTAAAGTTAGTTAAAGTTATTCGATGCTTTAACACGAAGTATTAATACAAATCTAAACAAAAATAGATCTATATAACACCAATTCATCAAGTCAATGCGAATTTGAATTGGTTGTTAAGGCTGGTCGTTTAAATTGCTTTCCTCAAAAGAAAACGTTACCTTACCTAACAATGTTAAAAAAATGCCGATGTTGTTGTTGTTGTTGTTGTTGTTAAAGTGTAAGCCTCCGTACAGATTCCGACTACTTCTTGAATGTTTAATTTTCTATGTTAAAAAGAACAATACCAAGCTCGGATTGGAATGATTAAATTATGATATTTACGTAAAAAGTTTTTGCCAACTGAATGTCATATTATTTATTGTTTTATTTCATTATTTTGTTCCTTTTTTCCATTATAAAGACAAACTCCGTGGCGTATTTAATATATAGCGGGAAATAACAGACCATATTTCATATTTTGTCTTATATTATTAGTTATAAAGATAGTTGACAAGTTATATGGCCCTCAATATTATACCTGTGAACAATCTTCATAACCAATTTATAATACTGCAAGAATCATTTTTAGAGAAAAAAGATTTATTCATGAATCGACAGCAGGCGTGTATATAAAACTATATAAAAGTCATGATTATCCAATGAAAATTGACGTTAAAAACGTGCAGTACTATAAATAAATACATATTGCTGTCTGATCGAAGGGTGATTACCCTTGCAAGGAAGATATACTTGACTATATGACTAGTATCCCTTTAACATGATGACTTTCCTCAATTTCTTTCCGAAATAAATGTGTCCTGATTAAAGGGAAATAATTAATCAACTAATAGACGGACTATTACTATATCCCCCTTTTTTCTTCGAAAAGGCGGGCAATTGATTACAGTCATTAAAAATCTGAAGACAAAATTTTTAAACAAGACAATGTTTATTGAATGAACTTAGCAATTATTCCAACATCCCTGTATTATATTGGACATCAGAGTTAAGACACAGTTAAGGTTTATTTAATCGAGTCATTTGTTAAAGAAATGATAATCTTAGCGGTTTTTTGTCATTAATTAAGTTCACAGTATGATAAAAATGGACGCTGCAAGTTCATTTTTGTGTCGCCTCTACGGAGTAGTGGCGACATAAAGGGATCACTTCTCCGTCGTCTGTCTGTCCGCCTGCCTGTCCGTCTGTCACAAAACTTGTCCGGACTACTCCTCATAAACTACTTGTGCAATTTCATCCAAACTTTACAGGAATGATCAGTACCAAATCTAGTTGTGCATATTATCAGCATTTTCCGGTTCAATAATTTTTGTCAGAGTTATGGCCCTTTAATATTCTTATTTTTAAAGTTTGTCCGGACTACTTCTCTTATACCACTAATGCAATTTCAATGAAACTTTACAGGATTGATCTGTAGCTCAAGTCCTTGCACATATTGCACAGGTTTTTTGGTGGAATGATTTTTGGCCGAGTTATGGCCCTTTGATAAAAAAGGTGTTTTTCTGTGTGTTGCCAGATACACAAAAGCTTGTCTGGACTACTCCTCATAAACTTCTGGTGCAATTTTATCCAAACTTTACAGGAATGATCAGTACCAAGTCTAGTTGTGCACGGTCTGTTTGTCTGTCTGGCCGTCTGTCACAAAACTTGTCCGCACTACTCCTCATAAACTACTGGGGCAATTTCATCCTAACTTTACAGGAATTTATGTCGCCACTACTCCGATCACTTCTCCGTCGTCCGTCTGTCCGTCTTTACTGAGTTATCGCCCTTGAATATATAACATGTTTTGCCCTGTTAATCATTTTGTGTCTTCCACTACACTGAAGCTGCAACATAAAATTGGCCATCATGAGGCGACACATGTGATCACTGATCGCATTTGTTATGAAAATATAGCAGTTATCATAGTATTGCGATTTTAAATCACAAAATGCATAATATCCTAAACGTTCTATGAAATTCACAGAATTCACAAAAAAATATCATATCGAAAAAATATTACAAAAAAATATGTCCGTTAAAAACGCCTTTATGATGCAAATGACATCTGAAGAACGAAGTCCCTTGTAAAATTCCCACCACAGGGGGGATTCATCAGATCGTTTAATTAAACAATTTACACATCTTTTATTTTATGTGTCTTATTCTGCACAAACAAGTCATTGAAACAGTTGAACTCGGCGGGGCGACTAAAGATGTACACTTTACGTGAAGTTAGGACCTGATATGTAATGTTTTTTATAATTCCTAAATTGAAAGATGCGATCCATTTAAACCGAAAATGTCGTGAAGTTCGATACTTAATTAACAAATCCTTCCTTGAATTTGTCATACAGTTCAAATTTAACCTCATAAGGGATGATTTTATTTGTTTAAAAGGGAATGGGATTTGCCATATGCTTTGACGAAACAATCAAATAACAGAATCCCTCTCAAAGTATTAATTAGTTTGTTCAGCAATGAACTCGAATAGTAAAAATAAATTTGTAGTTAAAATGTTTTGTACAAAGAGGAGGTTAAGCTTTCTGACCTATCCCAGAATGCATAGTGTAAATATTTCCAACATGATTATTATGTTGATTAGAAAAAGAACCAATAAAAAACAACCAAAAAGTACTGTGACAATTTATTTAAAAACGAAATCACCTTAATCAATCTTGCCAGCCAATATAATCAATGTGTACCAGGTCTTGCAATTTATCATTACAAACAAGTGTTACTTCCCATCACTGTCTCTGTTCTGGGAGCCTATATATTAAATTTTAAACCTTTCTTGCGATAAAAAGAAGTAGAGCTGTTTATATACTGTGAAAATGGCAATATTGCAATATTGAAAATGTTGCAGGCTCAGTTTGATTGGACGGCACTAGAAAGTGTAAGTTACTAGGAAGAGACAGCATGTATGTATGTAGTTGCTTAGGGAGGATCCATCCGCCCGTAAGGGCACAAAACGCAGCTTTCGTTTTTGAGTACGGACCCCGGACATGTCACCAGTCATGCCTTTAAAGAGTTAATTAAACTTGGAGCATTAGCCAAAGATATGAATTTTGAGCCAAAAGTAGGTCACTGTACGGCGGTCAATGAGAGACTTAATGTACAGTAACCTCAGAAGAGACAGCATGTTAATGCTCATCTTATATCATGATCTCTTCCTATTAATGCGTAGATTGCGCATGCGTATGTAAATAAAAGAAAAACATCCGGTCACATGACATAGCAACAAGCATCGTTGTTATGAAATATGTTATATATTTACTATCAAAAGGATAATCCAAAGAAAACCCAAACATTTCAATATAAAATACAAAAGAGATAAATATTGCATAGATATAAATTTTATTTTTTTATAAGTTTCATATAAAATTTAATATTCATTTAAAATTAAGAATAAGGTGATTTTCTACTTATATAACTTAAACGC